ACTTGTCTGACAGGGACTCTGATCAAACTGTGCTTAGTGATTCTGATTTCTCACTCTCCAGCAGTGAATCTGACACCGACGAAAACAACCAGGAAATCAAATGAAAACAATCAAAATGATTATGTTTATGATAATGTTGTGAATCCTTGGTCTAGAATTAAGGGTTCTGAATTGGATAGAGATGACCCCTATGAATTTTTATAAAAAATATAGCCTATAAATATGCCTCATGGGATAGGCACCTCAGTTGAGAACTTTATGCAAAGTTTTACACAACATATCATTCAAATGTTTGTGAGAGAGACTAATAAAAACTAATCAGTATGCAGACAACTTTCTCAGTAAACTAAAACCCAGCTGAAATAAACCACAATTGGGTGCACAATGGTGAAAAGAACTGCTCTGTCTAAAGCATCTGAAAAGTACCCCAGGGGCAGGAAAAGGAGTAGAATTATGTGCCAGGGGATTCTGAAAGACCTCCATGGGCATTGTTTCCCAAAGCACATGTGTTAGGATCTAATCATGCTACATCCATACAAAAATTCACACAATTTACACTGGTAAGTCATGTTTAGTCTCAGTTTAACAAAAAATTCATTCATAAATTATGCAAATCAGGATAACTCGTTTGCATAAATGTTGAAATTTCAGTTTTATGTATAAATATTGTATTAGCTTATTCAATTTCCTACAAGGTTATATATAGTTTTATGTATGTAAAATAAATAATTCATTTTTTATAAAAATGTTTGCAATGCGAGTGCCAAGCTCATAAAAAGGGATCCGGCGTTTGGCACAGACACCACAAAAAGGCTCCGTTCCCAAGAGTGTTAAACTATCAAATTTATAAAAATGACATCTTCTGTCAGAAAATATCCATCACAACATAAAGTTCAACATCACTGTCATTTTAAGGTTTTATTAAGTATGATAAAAAATTTAAAATGAGTCACATAACACAATATATTTGCCTCCCCATGTCACAAACTGTCACACTTTCTAAGAACACCCACCCCCCATCCCTGATCTTCAGACGTGATGTACTTTATGGAATCCCCTAAACTTACAAAAATGAGATTGCGACAAAACACAAAGTAATTTTTCATTTATGCCCCACAATCTTACCTGGTAGGACATGCTCGTTTAAAGCATTTTCTGCAACTCCTATGTCTTAGACGGTAAAACATTTTATCTACTCAATATGCTACATCGTGGTGTGAATGGTGTAGCTACTGATGGTGCATACAATTTTCCTACCAAAATGTATGTATGGTGAAATGTAAAAGCTCAAAAGTTTTAAAGATGCAGATTGTCATCAAGGTTGTACATTTCATAAGGGTCAAGGGATTAAATCATCGCCAATTCCAGGACATTATTAGCATTTAGGAAGTT